AATCTCAACCTACCATGGCTAGTCTGCAACCAATCCAACATTTTATGCTGCCTTCGCAAAGATTTGGCATCATTTGTGCCAATGATTCATTTTTTAAAGAGTGTTGTGCCACGGTCAATAGTTTTCAACCTTGGCAAGTTTATGGTGGGTGGACTTCACGTCCCAGAATTGCCCAGCTGGCATCTGTGGACTTCAAGTCCCACATTTATGGACTTCAACTCTCAGAATTGTCCAGCCAGTATTTGTGGACTTCAATTCCCAGAATTCTCCACTCAGCACCTGTAGATTTCAATTCCCACATTGATGGACTTCAATTCCCAGAATTCTCCACTCAGCACCTGTGGACTTCAATTCCCACATTCATGGACTTCAATTCCCAGAATTCTCCACTCAGCACCTGTGGACTTCAATTCCCAGAATTCTCTACTCAGCACCTGTGGACTTCAATTCCCACATTCATGGACTTCAATTCCCAGAATTCTCCACTCAGCACCTGTGAACTTCAATTCCCACATTCATGGACTTCAATTCCCAGAATTCTCTGCTCAGCACCCGTGGACTTCAATTCCCACATTGATGGACTTCAATTCCCAGAATTCTCCACCCAGCACCTGTGGACTTCAATTCTCACATTCATGGACTTCAATTCCCAGAATTCTCTACTCAGCACCCATGGACTTCAATTCCCAGAATTCTCTACTCAGCACCTGTGAACTTCAATTCCCAAATTCATGGACTTCAATTCCCAGAATTCTCCACTCAGCACCTGTGAACTTCAATTCCCACATTCATGGACTTCAATTCCCAGAATTCTCCACTCAGCACCTGTGGACTTCAATTCCCACATTCATGGACTTCAATTCCCAGAATTCTCCACTCAGCACCTGTGGATTTCAATTCCCACATTCATGGACTTCAATTCCCAGAATTCTCCACTCAGCACCCGTGGACTTCAATTCCCACATTCATGGACTTCAATTCCCAGAATTCTCCACTCAGCACCCGTGGACTTCAATTCCCACATTCATGGGCTTCAATTCCCAGAATTCTCTACTCAGCATCTGTGGACTTCAATTTCCACATTCATGGACTTCAATTCCCAGAATTCTCTACTCAGCACCTGTGGATTTCAATTCCCACATTCATGGACTTCAATTCCCAGAATTCTACTCTCAGCATGTGTAGACTTCAACTCTCAGAATTGCACAGCCAGCATTTGTCAATTCCCAGAATTCTTCACTCAGCATCTATTGGCTTCAACTCCCAGAATTCTCCACTCAGCATCTGTGGACTTCAACTCCCAGAATGCTGGCTAGAGGATTCTGGGAATTGAAGGTCACCCATCTTAAAAGCTGTCAAAAGTTGAGCAACACTTTGAGGAAGTTTAGATATTTGCAGAAATGGATTTGCAAAGATGGCTAAAACGGTTTACTTGCCAAAAAAAAAAGGGTTTCTGAGGAGAATAGGGCAGAAAGAAATAGTCTAAAAGTGTGAGTGTCTGGAACAAGGACTACACACCCCAATGCTCGTTCGTAAGTCCCACATCTGCAATCTCCGGTGGGACAGCTCACCTCTTGCCTAATTTTTCCTCTGGAAAGCGGAAGTTCATGGCTGTGGCAATTGCGATGTGGAATTGTCATATTTGCAGGTGGCACAGAGGCCTCTACATGTCTATGCACAAAAAACCAACAACAGGAGGGGCGGGAATATTTCTGGGATTTTTTTTTTTCTTTCAAAATAGCCCTCTTCTGTACCGGCCATCCTGAAAACACAGGCCCAAACCTCCATTGGATCACTTTTGCGCTCTCCTGCTTTCTCTCTCCTTCTCTCTGGCCCCCCCTTTTCTCTCTCTCTCCCCTCACCTCTCCCTGTCTTTCTTTCCCTCCCCCTCCCCCTCTCTTTCTTTCCCCCTCTTCTCTCCTTTCCCACTATCATTCCCCCTCTCTCTCCATCTCCTCCTCTCCCGCTTTCTCTCCCTCTCTTCTTCCTCTCTCCTCTCCCCCTTTCTCTCTCTCCTTCTGTCTTTCTCTTCCTCTCTCTCCGGCTCCTCCTCTCCCTGTCTTTTTTCCCCTCTCCCTCTTCCTCTCCCCTTCTCTCCCTGTCTTTCTTTCCTTCTCTTCCTTCCTCTCTTTTTCTCCCTCTTCTTCTCTCCTTTCCCTCTCTCTCTCCATCTCCTCCTCTCCCATCTTCTCTCCCTCTTTCTTTCCCTCTCTCCTTCTTCCTCTCTCCTTCTCTCTCCCCCCTTTCTCGCTCTCCTTCTGTCTTTCTTTTCCTCTCTCCAGCTCCTCCTCTCCCTGTCTTTTTTCCCTCTCCCTCACTCTCCTTTTCTCCCTGTGCTTCTCTCCCCCCTCTCGCCATATCCTATCCCTCTCTTTCCTCTCCCTCCCTCTCCCTTCTCCTTCTCTCCCTCTCTCCGTCTCTCCCCCTCACCATCTCCTATCCCCCCTCTCTCCTCTTCGTCTTTCTCTCTCTCTCTCTCACCATCCCCCTCTCCTCTCCCTTCTCCTTCTCTCCTTCTCTTTCTCTCCCCCCTCGCCATCTCCTATCCCCCTCTCTCTCCCTTCTCCTTCTCCCCCTCTCCTTGTCTTTCTCTCCCTCTCTCCCCTTCTCTTTCTCACACTCTCTCTCTCTCTTGCCCAATTTTCAACGTAGAAATAATTATAGCAATCTTCCTGGCAGGGCTGACGAAAGGATTACTAAGGTGTCTTGCAGAGAAGCTTCAAAGGCCTTTGCAGCACTCGGCACTTACGCGATTAAAAACAAGTTTGCATTTCACGGGGCCTTTTTCAGACAAAATGGTAGGCTTTGCATCCTTGGGAAGACCAAAAGCAGCAAATGGAGTTTTTCTAGCCTGCTCAGGAATGGCATGGTGCGAAGAAAGGATCTGCTCGTGTCACAGGGAGGGGAGGAGCACGTAGTGGGTGCACTCACAAAATGGTTGCCACGCGACATTTACCTACTCGCTATCGGCCAGGTCCACTATCAAAATATTCATGGCTAGAAAATAAATTACACATCTCTCTCTTGGTAGTTTTTTCCTACCAATCCAGAAGAAACTTTGGATAGCTCAAAGTGATCGCTTCGAATAGAATAAAGATGGATGCCTCGGACATCACACCGACTTTCTATTTGTGTTTTCATCTCCATAATCCTCCCCCAAAATAATGAAGGGCTACATTTACGATCCAGATGAGAACTAGAGTTTGCTCTAGTGCGTAAGGCACCAGGCTAGAAAGTGGGAGACCGTGAGTTCAAGTTTCGCCTTAGACATAAAAAGTGGCTGGGTGATTTTGGGCCAAACACTAGGAGACAGTGAGTTCTAGTCCTGTTTCAAGCATGAAAGATGGCTGGGTGACTGTGCCAATCACCAGGAGACGATGAATTCTATGTCCTGTCTTAGGGCATCCAAGCCAGAATGGTGACTTTGGGCCAATCACCAGGAGATTGGGAGTTATAGTCCCGCTTTAGGCATGAAAACTGGCTGGGTGACTTTGGGCCAATAACCAGAAGACTGGGAGTTCTAGTCCCACCTTAGTCACGAAAGCTGGCTGGGTGATTTTCGGTCAATCACCAGAAGACTGGGAGTTCTAGTCCTACCTTATGCATGAAAACAGGTTGGGTGATTTTGGGCCAATCATTAGAAGATGGTGAGTTCTAGTCCCACCTTAGGCATGAAAGCCGGCTGGGTGACTTTGGGCCAATAACCAGGAGACTGGGAGTTCTAGTCCCGTCTTAGGCACGAAAGCCGGCTGGGTAACTTTTTGATCAATCACCAGGAGTCTGGGAGTTCTAGTCCTACTAAATGCTTGAAAACCAGTTGGGTGACTTTGGACCAATCATTAAGAGACTGTGAGTTCTAACCCCGCCTTAGATATGAAAGCCGGCTGGGTGATTTTGGGCCTATCGCCAGGAGACGGAGAGTTCTAGTGCAAAGTTAGAAATGAAAACCAGCTGGGTAAGTTTGAGCCAATCCCTCTCTCTCTCAGCCCACCCCACCCCTCCCCACTCCAAAGAGTTGTAGTTGTGGTGAAAATATCAGGAGGAAAGTGTGTTGGGACTTTTTAGTCCAAACTAAATTAGGGACATTTGCTGAGTTATTTGTCAAAATAATAGTTGTTATTATTATTATTATTATAAAATAAAGTTATGGGATTATAAACAAATAAATCCATCGCAATAGAACTTTGGCCTATTCCTAATACCGCCCCAATTCTTAGAAAACCTGTCTCAAAAGAGCCATTTAAGAGTTCACCACTTAGTTTTGGCACACATTTCGACAAAAGTAATTGTTTTTCCCTTCGCTTGTTCCAGTGCATGGAAATGTTCCCAAATAATAATTCAGCTGCTTCGCGAAAGAAACCCCCGTCTCCCTCTTTCTCTCTGCCAAAACAGCTCCTTGGCAATCTTTACACAGCAACCATGGAAAAATTTGAATTTTTCGACCACCAGGTAAACTATTACTGTCACAAATCGCCCAACATTCTCTGGGATGAAACAGGTTACAGGTGTATTTACAAACCTGTTTGAAAGCTGCACGGAGGCAGCTCAGGAATTTTTTTGGGGGGGGGGAATTCAAGACACATTTCACACCAAGTATAACTTTCACCAAACATCTTTCCTGCACCCACCCACCCCCACAGAAGCTACACAAAAGACCACCGCACACACACACACACAAAAAACCCCACAGCTGCCCAAATTGTTCCTTCCTGTCCCCGCACGTCAAACTATTATCTTCTTTTTGCAAAAAAAACCAACCCCGAACAACAACAGAGCTTTGGATCCCGGCGGCCCATCCCTAGACCAAATTTTTTTCCCCCCCATATATCCCTGCAAACCAGAGTTTGGAAAAAAAGTAAAGTCACGGTCCAACAATCAGGAGGAGGAAGAAAGAAAGGAGTCGAGTTTTGGGATTTTGGAAGGAAAGAAGGAAGAGCCGCCACATCTGGCAATCTGAGCCACCACATCTGGCAATCCGGATTGCTGTTTTGTTTTCTCACCTGGCTGGCTTTGTAGAATTGCTTCTTCAACCCTGCCACAGACATGATGATGAGGATGAGGATGATGGACGTTTGCCCGAGTCCGTCTCAAGGAAGCTGTCACTCAGGACCCCCGCTTTGGGGGGGGGTGTTAAGGCGATGGGGGGAGCAGAAGCAGCTTTGTGAGATCAGGGGGTGGTTTACAAAATTGGGGGGCAGGAGCGTCCCAGCTCTGGCATGAAGGGGGTCAGCAGCCAGGCAAGGGGGTCAGGGAGATCCTGGCCGCCCGGAAAAGATGCTCCAGGCTTGGGGAGACCCTAATCCCCAAAAAAGAAGTTGGGAGTCTGGATTAGACTAAAACAGCCCCTTCCCCAATGAGTCAGGGACCCAGTTCTCCCTGCTCCAGGCCAATAAGGGCAAAGCAGCCCCCCACCCAAAAAAACCCCCAATTTAAAAGCCAAAAACAAGCACTCAATTATAGAGAAACCTGGAATGGGGCTTTGCCAAAGACAGAAAAGAGTCTGTCCCGCCTGCGGAGGGCTGTTTTAAGAGGCTGAGAAAAGCAGCCACTGCCCCCACCCCACCCCCAAAAGCAGGTTGGCGTTTTGAGGAGGGCTGCTCAAGAGACTAGTCCTCAACGAGGCTAAAGGAGAAGCAGAGTTGCCCCAGAGCCGGTTTAAAGGCTTAAAATGATGTTTGGGGCAAAGGGGTGGAAGGGAGGGAGGGAGTCGTCCCTTTTCCTTCTTCTTTTCTCCGGGAAGGAGCAACCGAAGAGAGGGAAGGAGAAAAAGAAGCAGGAGGAGAGCAGGAGGGAGGAGGAGGAGGGAAGGAGGGAGGGCGGAGAGACACACAAAGTAGTCCCAGAGCAGACCGACCAACGGACGGGGGTGGGGGGCGGAAAAGGGAAGGAGGGAGACGAACGACGCCCCTCGGCTCCCGCGGAGCTCCGAGCTCAGCCCCGCTCGCTCTCCTCGCCCCTCAGGATGTCACACGGACCGATGGCTCATTTCCGACGCTCACTGCGCCTGCGCGAACACGTTCTTATTTTCCCCCCACGGCGGAGGGATTCCATTTAAAAAAGTACCAGAGAGGGAGGAGGGAGGGAGGGGTGGAGGGAAAAAAAAAAGAAGACCCGGTTCCACGCTTTCCACCATAGATAAATGAACGCTAGAGCGTTCGCGTATATATTATTTCCGTCCCTTCGCGCCAGGAGGAGAGAACATTAAGGAAAGAGCCACAGCGCCCCCTAGCCCTCTGAACCCACGAGGCTGGCTTGGTACTTGTACTGGTAAGTCCGCCCAGCCACGTGTTTCACTACAGCTTCCATGGAACAGAGGTCTTCAAACTTGGCAGCTTTAAGACTTGTGGACTTCAACTCCCAGAATTCTCCAGCCAGCTATTCTGGGAGTTGAAGTCCACAAGTCTTTAAAGCTGCCAAGTTTGAAGACCTCTGTTCCATGGGGGGAAGGCTAAGCCCGCCCATTCCTGAGCGTGGATGATGGGAGCTGTAGTTCAATCTTGGTTGCCAGGTGTCCACTATTTGAGCGGACAGTCCGCTTTTTTCACATTATGTTCACTATTTTTTTTTTCACAAAATAGTGAACATTTTTTTTTTATTCAAAAGCTTTATGATGAAATGGTACGTAAGTTTTGCGAGTCAGAATTCCAGGAAGTTTTGCGCCATGTTCCAACACGTTGGTTAAGTTTGTTTAAAGCGGTCGAAAGACTTCTTTTAAACTGGATACCTCTAAAATCGTATTTTATTTCTCTTGGATCTGATGAGTGCCATAAGGTTATCTGGAACCTTATTTCGGATCAGGAAAATGAACTCGCAAAGGACGATGAACCAACTATTTCAGAACTGTATTTATATTTCACGCACTTCTTCATGTCAATAATGCAAGACACCCTACTGAAGCTGGAAAGCAAGAAAATTCTTGCATGTGATCTTCACATTATCATGTGTAAGCTGCGTGATTCTTTGCAAAAAAAATACGATGAGCATTTTTTTGGAATGAAAGTTTTATTTGCCTTACGTAAAAAACATTTGCCTGAGAATGCCATGCAAAAGTTCAAGAAAGAAGCCATTAACATGTATCAAAGAGCCATTGCGTACCTAGAAAAGTGGTATAATTTCACCGATTCAGTATATGAGACACTAAGTTGTTTCAACTTAGCGTCTTTTTTATTTGACTGCGCAGTCAAATAAAAAATACACACAACAGCAAAGTAAAATGTAATTTAATATTTTACATATTATTATAATATATTTGATGTTTTGAATTTTAAGTAAAGTTTTGAAGTGATTATTTTAATACGTGTTAAAATGTTTGTAAGAAAATATATAATTTAATTGTAATTTTTTAAAATATTTTTTTACTACTTAACCCGCCCCCCCGCCCCCCCCATTTGTCTGCTATTTTTTGGAAGCAGACCTGGCAACCCTAGGAGGAGTGCCCAGTTGGGAGTGATCTCATATACAGGTAGTCCTTGACTTACAATCATTGGCTTAGTGACTGTTCAAAGTTAGAACGGCACTGAAAAAAAGCGACTTATGACCATTTTTCAAACTTATGACCCTTCCAGCATCCCCCTGGTCATGTGATCAAAAGTTGGTATATTTAAAAGTTGGACAGTGGCTACTGTTGACCTCACCCCATTCCTAAGAGGTCTGTAAGGGGCGTGCATAAGAGCACCAGCGTGCCTACTGTCCCTGTCCTAATGTTCCCTATAATTGTATTCATTTTATGTATTCAATTCATGCTTATACTTATATACACTGCTCAAAAAAATAAAGGGAACACAAGCAGAAGACATCCGAGATCTGAATGAATGAAATAGCCTTATTATTTATTTATTATCAAATTTATAGACCGCCCTTCTCCCGAAGGACTCAGGGCGGTGTACAGCCAAAGTAAAAAACATAGATACAAACATTAAAAGCAATTTAAAAAGATATATATAAATTTGGCCCCAAAGTTAAAAAACAATAACAAAACATATTTAAAACATTTAAAAAGCATTAAGCCAGCCCGGCTTGCTGAAAAAGGAAGGTCTTCAGGGCACGGCGGAAGGCACCGAGGTCTTGAATTCTTCATATCTCTGGGGGCAGTTGATTCCAGAGAGCAGGTGCCCCCACAGAGAAGGCCCTCCTTGTTCGTTACATACAGTAGTTTTGTGTTCCCTTTAGTTGTTTGAGCAGTGTATAAACTACTGTATGTAAAGAACAAAGTATTTAATAAGGCTATTTCATTCATTCAGATCTCGGATGTCTTCTGCTTGGGTTCCCTTTATTTTTTTGAGCAGTATATATTATCTAATACAAACTATTCTAATATTTTTTTTATTATCTAATACGTACTCGACAAATAAAAAAATAAAATAAATGTGATCCCCTTTTCTGACAAAGTCAATGGGGAAGCCAGATTCACTTTACAAGTCTAGATATCATCAAGAGAGTAAAAGAAGTGAAATGGAAATAGGCTGGTCCCATAGCAAGAAGAACTGATGGCAGGTGGACTAAGGCACCTGAAGGCCGGACAAAGAATAATGGATGGAAACTGATCCAGGAGAGATTCAACATAGAAATAAGGAGGAATTTTCTGACAGTGAGAACAATCAACCCATGGAACAGACGTTGCCTTCAGAAGTTGTAAGAGCTTCATCCCTGGAAGCTTTCAAAAAGAGACTGGACTGCCATCTGTCAGAAATGGGGTAGGGTCTCCTGCTTGGGTGAGGGGTTGGACTAGATGACCTACAAGGTCCCTTCCGACTCTGTTAATCTGTTATTCTATTAAGGCAGTCATGGAATGGTATTATTGTGGCTCCGTTACCTGAGCCTGTGTCATCGGCAGGAGAGGACTCCGAGAGTGAAGGAGAGGAGTTGGCAAGGCCTCCCTCTCCAGGACCCTCCTCTCTGGCAATGCCTTCGGTGTCCGCCGAAGGGCAAGAGATAGGGCCGGGGCCAAGCACGTCCACGCAGCCACAGATGGACAGTGATGAGGGTAATGAGTCGTGGCTGGATCCACGCCAGCATCGCAGAGATAAGCGCGCGCAACAGAAGAAAAGGCGTGCCCGAGATTAGGCTGAGTCACTGCACCACACCCCACAGGATATAAAAGGGAGCGTGGTGGCCAGTCCAACCTTGTGACGAACAAAGCTGAAAGCTTCCACGCCATTCTGCATTGCCGGACTTTTGCTAAAGACTTTGCTGGATTATCTCTGTACTTGATTGACTCCGTAATTATTGAGCTGTTTCTTTTGATGTACCAGGAGTGGGGAGAAGTTATCTCTCCTCTTTGTAAATAATAAACTCTTGGCAGGCAGCCACTAGGTTGTTGCCAAGTTCCGTTATCATAAGGAAAAGGATTTTGCCAGCTGTTTTGGTCTTTAACTCTTGAACGTCTGTTGGTGTGTGGGTGTATGGTTGGGGATAGAACAGGTATGATAAAAAAGCATCCACGAAAAATACCTAAAGATGGAGGGACGACATCAGCAAGTACAGCGGGCCCAATTGGCAAAAGAAAACTCAGGATCGTATGGTTTGGAAACATGCGGAAGAGGCCTTCATCCTGCAGTGGATAGAATGATGATGATGATGATGATGATGAAAGGTTACCTTATCTTTATTATGTCCATGGATAAACTGCCTACATGGCTTCTACAGTGTGGCAGTCAACTTAAGAAGCTGATTTTGATTGACAGGAAAAGGCAGCAACTTAATTGATGACTTATCTTCTAGATGTTTATTTGACTTTCACCAAATCAAGGCCATAAAATACAACCCTCAGCTCATGACATCACCTGCCTCCTCCGTGGGTGCTCAGCCATATTAATTCAAAAATTGCAAAGATACATTAAACAGGAGGATGCCCTGAGACTAAGCTCCACTTACTTCTCCCTAGAGTCCACTCACCCTAACTCTCTTCATAGGAGCCTTCAAAACCTGGTTTATCCACACCCTGGTTTAAAACGAATGGTTAGATTACTTTCTTTTTTTCTTTTTTTATTTTTTTTAATTTATTTTTTTATTATATTTCTATACCGCCTTTCTCCCGTAGGATTCAAGGCGGTGTACAGTCAAGAAAAATATAGATACACAAGCATCATAAAATTGCTAATTAAAATTATTATTATAACATAGTTTGGCCCAATTAAATAGAACCTAAAATTAGATAACATTTTAAAATCATTCACATGTTCATATGTTTAGCCCCGCCTGTTGGAACATCACGATTTTGAGGGCACGGCGGAAAGCACGGAGATCAGGGATATTTCGTATCTCAGGGGGCAGTTCATTCCAAAGGGTTGGAGCCCTCACAAAGAAGGTCCTCCCACTGGGAGTTGCCAATCGGTATAATTTGACTGACGGTACCCTGAGTAGTCCCTCCCTGTGAGAACGAACTGGTCGGTGGGAGGCTATTGGTGGCAAAAGACGGTCTCGTAGGTACCCAGGTCCTAAGCCATGGAGCGCTTTAAAGGTGATAACTAACATTTTGAATCGCACCCGGAAGACCACTGGGAGCCAGTGCAGCTCGCGTAGGAGAGGTGTTACATGGGCGCAACGAGCTGCGCCCATAATCACTCATGCGGCTACATTCTGGACCAGTTGGAGCCTCCGGGTGCTTTTCAAGGGGAGCCCCATGTAGAGAGCATTACAGTAGTCCATACAGGAGGTGACTAGGGCATGAGTGACCGTGTGCAAGGCGTCCCGATCCAGAAAGGGACGCAACTGGCGGATCAGGCGAACCTGATAAAAGGCAACTCTGGCCACGGCCGTCAAATGATCTTCTAAAGATAGCCGTGAATCCAGGAGGACACCCAAGTTGCAGGCCCTCTCTGTGGGGAGCAAGATCTCATCCCCTATTGTCAGTGATGGTACCAGCTGACTATATCGGGACGCCGGAAGCCACAGCCACTCGGTCTTGGAGGGGTTGAGTCTGAGATTTTATATATATATAGTCTGAAATTCATGGATATTTAAGCTGTCATAGCAGCCTTCTAATCTAACACAGAAGTTACCAAACGTGGCAATTTTAAGACTTTGTGGACTTCAACTCCCAGAATTCCTCAGGCACGTGGCTGGCTGAGAAATTCTGAGAGTTGAAGTCCACAAAGTCTTTAAAATTAAATTGCCACGTTTGGAGACACCCCTGCCCTAAAAATAAAACTTCATTGGTCCCTGAATAGATGCATAAAGGATCCACTGCAGACCATTCAATTAATCGGGAAATGAAAGGAATTTCTATTCCACTTTCCGCCTTTATTTTAGAAACCTCGTGTTCCAGCCAATCAGGAGCGCTTGTCTCTGCGCTGGCCAATAGAAAAGCGGGGGACGTTTGACCAATCAGCAGTGCCACTGCTTTGCCCTTTCAAGTTTCAGGGCTAACTGAGCCATAGAGGTAAAATTAGAAAGAAAGTTTTTGACACTGGCATTAAAGCGGCTGATTCATAAAATGGGGCAAAAAAACCCACTTAACTGTCTTGCTTTGCAACGTAAATTTTTGGCTCAGTTGTGGTTGTAATTCGAGGACTACTTGTATTGGGATCAGAAAGGGAGAGAAAATTCTACAATGTCTACATTTTCTCTTGTGAGAACTATCTAAAGGGAGAAACTATTGCAAAAATATATCCAAATTTAATTCCAAATTGTTGGAAATGTGGACAGAAGCAGGGTACTTTCTATCACTCTTGGTGGCTGTGTTCAGAATTGAAAAAATATTGGAAAAAAATAAAAAATTGGTTGCAGGAAATAACCAGAGCTCAACTGGATTATTCACCAGAACTCTTCCTTCTGGGGATAATGAAAAAAACTTATGATAAGAAAACAAGACATATGATTCTACATATAACAACTGCATCAAGATTGGCCTTTGTACAATGCTGGAAGAATGCAGACGCCCTCCGATGATTTAATAATCAAAAAAATATTTACGCTGAAATGGACAAACTAACAATGGATTTGAAAGGAATGACAGACTTGGAGTATTATGTATCATGGGAGAAATGGTGCAAATGGATTGAAAACAGAAAAATAAAATAGATTCAGATATAATAGAATTTGATGAAATGAAGTGCATAGAGTGTATGTCATGTAAAAGGTCACAGTTCTGCACAAAAAAATTTCTTTTTTGTATTTTTGTATTTACCTTTTTGCTTGGACTTAGAATATTTTTTTTTCAGACTTAGAATAACTTTATTGTCACTTTGAATATAGACTCATCGGCATACATTAAAATGACATTTCGTTGCATATACAGCTCTCAAAGGGTAACCGCCTCCAATACACACTGTATTATTTATTTATTTATTATATTTCTATATTCTATTCTATACTATTCTATTCTATACTATATTTCTATACTATATCCAGCTACTGACTGGATCTCCAAACTCGACATTAAACTTTGAAATGTTATTTCTGTTTTCCTTTTAGGTTTTCTTACTGCTTTTTTTATTGTTTTAATTGTTTTTAACCTGTAAAAATGGAGTGTTTTAATACTGTGTGTGACCAACCATACGCTAAATAAATAAAAATATACTATATTATATTTGTATAAAGTGCAGCCTCTGGAGTACAACCCCTCCTTCTGGAAATTTGGGAAGACCCAGGCCCGGTTCCAGACAAGAGAGGATGCTCTCTTTGCCCCTCCATCTCTCCAAAACCGGAAGTGTGGATTCGCGTCGCATTTTCACCGCATCTCTACAACCTTCTCAGCCGAGGCGGAGCCGGGCCGCGCCTCCCGTCGGGGCTTTTTTTTTTCTCGCGAGATCTTGAGCCGCCGCTTCCCGCTCCTCCGCCCTCGCGCACAGCCGGCAGGGTCACGTGGGCGCGGCGTCCCGCCCTATCAGGGCGCCGGAGCGCGAAGGTCGGCAGAACTCCCGCCAAATACGAGCGAGGAGCGAGCGGACGGGCCGGCGGGCGGTTGGGCATAGAGCGAGCCGGACGGCGCCGGCCGAGGCGGCGAGCCTTCGCTGTCTCTCCCGCCCCCCCCTCCCGGGGATGTGAGGGGGAGCGAAGGTTTCCCGCCGCCCGGCCGCTCTTCTCCTCAGGCAGGTGAGGGACTAGAGCGAGCCGCGGGGAGCCCGAGGGGCCTGTGGCTGCGAGGGAGGTGGGAGGGCGGGGGGGGGGTGGAGTGGAGGGAACCCTGAAGGGAAACTGAGGCAGGAGGGAAGGAAAGGGAAGGGGTCGCTGAGAGGGGAAACTGAGGGGAAACTGAGGCAGGAGGGGAGGGGTCTCTGAGGGGAAACGGCCAGGGGGAGGGTTTCTGAGGGGAAACTGAAGCAGGAGGGTCTCTGAGGGGAAACTGAGGCAGGAGGGAAGGAAAGGGAAGGGGTCGCTGAGAGGGTCTCTGAGGGGAAACTGAGGCAGGAGGGGAGGGGTCTCTGAGGGGAAACGGCCAGGGGGAGGGTTTCTGAGGGGAAACTGAAGCAGGAGGGTCTCTGAGGGGAAACTGAGGCAGGAGGGGAGGGATCTCAGGGGAAATTGAGGCAGGAGAGTCACTGGGGAAACAGGCAGGAGGGTCTCTAAAAGAAAACTGAGGCAGGAGTGGAAGGGTCTCTGAGGGGAAACTGAGGCAGGAGGGGAGGGGTCTCTGAGGGGAAACGGCCAGGGAGAGGGTCTCTAAAAGAAAACTGAAGCAGGAGTGGAAGGGTCTCTGAGGGGAAACTGAGGCAGGAGGGGAGGGGTCTCTGAGGGGAAACGGCCAGGGAGAGGGTCTCTAAAAGAAAACTGAACCAGGAGTGGAAGGGTCTCTGAGGGGAAACTGAGGCAGGAGAGTCACTGGGGAAACTGAGGCAGGAGGGTCTCTAAAAGAAAACTGAGGCAGGAGTGGAAGGGTCTCTGAGGGGAAACTGAGGCAGGAGGGGAGGGGTCTCAGGGGAAATTGAGGCAGGAGGGTTTCTGAGGGGAAACTGAGGCAGGAGGGTCTCTAAAAGAAAACTGAGGCAGGAGTGGAAGGGTCTCTGAGGGGAAACTGAGGCAGGAGGGGAGGGGTTTCTGAGGGGAAATTGAGGCAGGAGAGTCACTGGGGAAACTGAGGCAGGAGGGTCTCTAAAAGAAAACTGAAGCAGGAGTGGAAGGGTTTCTGAGGGGAAACTGAGGCAGGAGGGGAGGGGTCTCTGAGGGGTAACGGCCAGGGAGAGGGTCTCTAAAAGAAAACTGAAGCAGGAGTGGAAGGGTCTCTGAGGGGAAACTGAGGCAGGAGGGGAGGGGTTTCTGAGGGGAAACTGAGGCAGGAGAGTCACTGGGGAAACTGAGGCAGGAGGGTCTCTAAAAGAAAACTGAGGCAGGAGTGGAAGGGTCTCTGAGGGGAAACTGAGGCAGGAGGGGAGGGGTCTCTGAGGGGAAACGGCCAGGGAGAGGGTCTCTAAAAGAAAACTGAAGCAGGAGTGGAAGGGTCTCTTAGGGGAAACTGAGGCAGGAGGGTCTCTAAAAGAAAACTGAGGTGGGGGGAGGGGTCTCGGGAATGGGGGGGAGGAAGCAGGGAGGGGAAGGGTCTCTGAGGGGAAACTGAGGCAGGAGGGAGGAAGGGAAGGGGCTCTAAGGGGAAACTGAGGCAGGAGGATCTCTGAAGGGAAACAGGCAGGAGGGGAAGGGGCTCTGAGGGGAATCTGTGGTAGGCAGGAGGGTCTCTGAGGGGAAACTGAGGCAGGAGGGTCTCTAAAAGAAAACAGGCAGGAGGGGAAACTGAGGCAGGAGGGTCACGGGAAACTGAGGCAGGAGGGTCTCTAAAAGAAAACAGGCAGGAGGGGAAACTGAGGCAGGAGGGTCTCTAAAAAAAACAAGCAGGAGGGGAGGGGTCTCTGAGGGGAAATTGAAGCAGGAGGGTCACTGGGGAAACTGAGGCAGGAGGGTCTAAAAGAAAACTGAGGCAGGAGGGGAGGGGTCTCTGAGGGGAAACTGAGGCAGGAGGGTCTCTAAAAGAAAACAGGTGGGGGAGGGGTCTCGGGAATGGGGGGGAAGAAGCAGGGAGGGGAAGGGTGTCTGAGGGGAAACTGAGGCAGGAGGGAGGAAGGGAAGGGGCTCTAAGGGGAAACTGAGGCAGGAGGGTCTCTGAAGGGAAACAGGCAGGAGGGGAAGGGTCTCTGAGGGGAATCTGGTAGGCAGGAGGGTCTCTGAGGGGAAACTGAGGCAGGAGGGGAGGAAAGGAAGGGCCGCCGAGTGGGTACTGAGAGAAAACTGAGGCAGATAGGGAAAGGGTCTCGGGGAACTGAGGCAGGGAGGAAGGAGTGGAGGGGTCTCCTAGGGGAAACAGGAAGGAGAGGAAACTGAGGCAAGCATGGGCCGCGAGAATGCAGAGAGGTCTCACATCATAGGCTTCATCAACTTTGGGTGGGGGGCTTCCCCTGGGACTTTGAGCCTGGGGTTTGAGGCATGGTGTGAACCCTGACCAGGGCTTAAATCCCAGGATGGGCCAAATGTGTCATGGGGAACTGCCTCTTGCATTCTAGAGGAGAAGTCAGGGTGTTGATGAGGGAACTAAGCAAGGGGAGTGGTGATTGACACAGGAAAGGAGAAGATAGCCAAATCAGATGCTGGGGTGGGGTGGGGGGACCCTTATGGAAATGCTGCCCCCCCCCAGCGCTTTCAATCATGACTTGCAAATTGCAGTGGTGGGCTTAAACTAAATCCAAGCAAGCTACAGTGCTTGATAGGGTAGGTGAATCTGAAACCGAAACTAAATATTGTGTGCGTGTTTAGTTGAATGACAAGGAGGACTTGGTATGGGTGGATACAACTTGAGTGATCACAAGAAGGATTGGGTGAAGGCCAATATTAATAATCGGAAGTGAGCAATATTATATTCTGAATATATGCGGAAGTTTAATTATTATTTGCCTTTGCTAGGCAACTATGGAGTGTCGAAATAAAACAGGAGTTCCAGCTCGGAAGCTAATCCAAGGTAACTTGTTTTCTCTTCAAATATATAATCTGGCTTTTCAATTTCTTATGCTTTTTATATTACTTGGATTTATAATCCTATCTGAATTCAGTTCTGTGTTTCATAACTTTATTCTTTCACGGAGTCGCAGAAATTGGAGTGCAAGGACCTTGAGGGAGAATGGTGGTTTTTCTATTCTATTAACTGTTCAATGGGGTGGAAGATATCAGTCTATCTTGGTTTTGTTGCACTGCAGAGTTCTGAACAGCACTGATATGGGCAGTGACTTCAGAATAATCCCCTCTGTTAAAACCATTAGCACATCTGTGGAGTCAGGAGCCTAGATCGCCTTCAAAACTATAGGTAATTCTCGACTTAACCACAATTGAGGCCAGAATTACTCTTGCTTTGCAAGACAGTGGTTAAGGGAATTCCCCCCCCACTCTTTTATGACCTTTCTTGCCACAATCGTTAAGTGAATAGTTGCAGTTATTAAGTGAATCTGGCTTCCCCTTTGACTTGGCTTGTGAGAAGGTTGCAAAAGATGATCACATGTCCCTGGGACACTGCAACCGTCATAAATATGAGCCAGTTTCCTAGCATCCATATTTTGATCATGTGACCATGGGGATGCTGCAACAGTTGTATGTAAATTGGTCATAAGTCATTTTTTTCCACTGCCGCCATAACTTCAAATGGTCACTAAACGAATGGTTGTAACTTGAGGACCACCTTTACAGTGGTGGGTTGCTACTGGTTCACCCCAGATCGGGCGAACCAGTAGCGACAGCGGCGGTAGGCTCTGCCCACCCGCCCAGACAGAAGTGTGTGTGCACACACACATGAGCAAACCAGTAGCAAACTAAATTGAAACCCACTACTGCACCTGTACTTCCTTGAGCTGTGGGACGAGTGATGATACCTAAGAATCTAGGGACTCCTATTAACAGGTCAAACATTATACTACATTGTCATATTTTGTATGTGGAATAACCAGAGTAGGTTGGATTAATTCCTGTCACTAAGCAGTAAATCATGGTTTAATGATGGCTGGAGGCTGCTTCATATAACAGTCAAAAGGAAGTAACTACATTGCTGAATGTTATGTCTGAATTCAGCTATATTATTTGCCTCTGGTACCAGAGAAAATATGATGGATACAAAACCACCAAGCTCATAGCTGGCATTGATAGCTTTATGTTTTTGAATTTGTCAAAATTCCCTTTTGGAGCTAAATTAACAGCATTCTCTGTGTCTTAATAGTAATAAATTTAATAGTCAATAAAGTTTGGATATATTTTGCATGGCTATTAATAGATTTCTGGGCAATTTACAAAAGCCAAAATACAACATACTTTAAACATTCAACAATATTTCCTTCTAATTGAAGGCAGAATCAATAATTTCAGAATGAGAAACTATAGTAGAGTCTAGGCTTAGTTAAAATTTAAATCGTGTTCTAAAAGGCTCTGCTGATTTGAAAGATACATGTGCTCTCAAAAAAAGGACTTCCTTTGTCTCCAATTTTCTAGGTTTCAAACCAAAAGCCCTACTATTACCAGCCTCTTCCCACCACACTGTTCAGCCAGATGCTGGGATGCTCTCCCACTCATGTTCCCTAGCAACTCCTATGAAGAAGCTTTAATAACTCTGATATAGATGATAATGTGTATCCCCCATCCTTAGCAGCCTTCAACCTCTTTGTTTTCCATGAATTTGTCTAATCCCCCTTCAGAGCTATCCAAGTTGCCATTGCTCCATTTGATAGAAGTGAATTCCATGGTTTAATTATGCCCTTTTAAAAAAAAAGAATACCTGTTCAGTTTCTCTCAGTTTAGTTCAGCTTCTGGTATTTTACCAGAGAGAAAAAATGCACACATTTGAACCATGCGCTCCTTAGCCTTACACAATAAATTTTTGTTCCTTGTATCCAAATTTAGTTATCTGTAGTCCAGGGTCCACTGATGGGCTGTGAGAATACATCCATAAATATTGGTTGCCAGTTTGACAAAAGAATCTGGGGACTTTAATCTTAACAGCTACTCGCAAGCTTCTGTATTGTTAGTGAAGAAATCTATCTCCTTCAGGGATTACTGGCAGAAAGACAATCAGAAACTTTCATCAGGCCTCACAAACCAAGACTGAGTAGTTTGCCTACAGACAGAATCTTGCCAGATGCACAACTGCAGATACATCTGTGAACTGTTAGGGAGGGTCCGTTTTTGCCCTCTTCCCGCCTAACAGACTTTCCAAGCTTCACTGTCTCCTTTCCCTCTGGGAAGCGGCCCCTCCCTTCTGGGACTCCAGATCACATCACACACACACACACACACACACTGTCATAATATACATGAAACTATAATTGTTTAAAATTATCGTTGTTCGCTTTATATGTTTGTGAATTGGTTTGTTTTAAACTGGTTTTTTCGGATTGTTGCTTTTATCTGTTGTGAGCTGCCCAGAGCGGCTTAGATGAGATGGGCAGCCGTACAAATTAAATAGCAATAATATTCATTTTATCGATCTTATTATTCCAGCTCGACTGCCCTTCAAGCGCTTGAATCCCATACCAAAGGAGAAAAATGACACAAACCCCGAAGTGAAAAAAGCCAGGAGCGTGCAGAACGCCCTCGACCAAAACGCGGCTTACCCTGCCTCGCCGCATACATTGTCGGACAATGTGGAAAACAGTTGCGAGGAAGAAACGGAATCCCCTGTTCCAAAACTGATTAATGGCAAGGGTCCCCTCGATAACTTTGTGCAGAAAAGTATAAAAAATGATACAAGTCAGTCTCGGCTCTTCATAGACTTGACGGACGACGACCCTCCTCACAGACGGGATGAGAACACGGGTCGCACCAAGTCCAGCATCAGAGTAGCATCTCCTGAGGAAACCCCAAAGGAGAAAGAAGGCCAGGCTGCGTCCCCAAATTCCTCTTGCACCGCTCAGGAGGTGGATCCTTGCTTAGAAACCGGCTTCGATGTAACAGAGAAGGAATTACCAAGCGAGGCATCCACCGAGATAGAAACTAATACTTCCACGGAGGATAAACCTCAGAATGTCATATTTGAACGGAAAATGCCAGTCGTGGTTCTGGAGGACATCTTGGCCACCAGATCTCCTCAAGCTGCGGCTTTGGAAAGGAGCGCAAATTCTGAAAACGAAACCATGGAATCTTGTCCCGAAGAGGACACGCCATGTACAAATTCCTCCTTAAGTTCCCTCTCTCTTACCAGCTCCCCTGAGTCTCGGGCGACCAAGGAGCATAACGTTAATCCACTAGCTGCTTCAACACCGGTGTGGAAGGTTGGTATCCACTTCAGGAAAGCCACGTTATGGTCTGTATTGCAGGTAATCCTCGATTTACAACCGTTAACAGTTTTAGTGGCCCGTTCGAAGTTACAGAAGCACTGAAAAAAAAGTGACTTATGACTGTTTTTCACACTTACGACCGTTGCAGGCATCCCCACGGTCACGTGATCAAAATTAAGCCGCTTGGCAATTGACTCATATTTACGACGGTCACAGTGTCCCAGGGTCATGTGATCCCCATTTGTGACCTGACGAGCAAAGTCAATGGGGAAGCCAGATTCACTTAACAATCGTGTTACTAACTTAACAACTGCAGTGATTCACTTAACAACTGTAGAAAAAGGTAGTAAAATGGGGGCAAAACTCAATTGTCTCACTTAGCAATGGAAGTTTTGGGGTCAATTGTGGTCGTACGTCAAGGACTACCTGTATAATTTGTTTGGACAAGGTGGAAATAAACTTTTCTTAGCATTTCTTTGGAGAGAATTGGCTGTTTTTGCTAACTCTTTTGCCTTTGTCATTTATCTGTTTCTAAAACAGATTATGCTTTTACAGGCTTGACTCACAGCTATTCATTTAGTGACTGTTTTAAGCTACAGCGGGATTGAAAAAAAAGGACTTACACCTGGTCTTCACACTTACGACCGCTGCAGCATCCCCATGGTCACATGATCAAAATACAAGCACTTGGCAACCAGCATGTATTCATGGTAGTTGCACTGTCCTGGGGTCATGTGACTTCCATTTGCAACCATTCCAGCTGGTTTCCAGCAAGGAAAGTCAATAGTCGCTTAATGACCATTTGATTCACTTAATAACTGCAGTGATTTGCTGAACAAACACGGTAAAATTAGGCATGAGTTAACTGCCTTGCTTAGCAGTGGAAATTCTGGTCTATTGTCATATGTTGAGAAATATCTATTTAGATAAAAATAGTTGGAAATTGCCATTTTACAGTTTTTCTCTGGGTAATATAAATACCGTATTTTCCGGCGTATAAGATGACTTTTTAACACATGAAAATCTTCTCAAAAGTCGGAGGTCGTCTAATACGCCGGGTGTCATTCTCCTATAACCAGGCAGACCAGCCCGAAAGGCTCTGACGAGCCTTAAATGGCTCTGGCGATCCAAGCTCTGACAATCCCAGCTGTGTTGCCTGCTAATCAGGCAACGCAGCTGGGATCGCCAGAGCCATGTAAAAGCCAGCAAAACAAAGCTGGCTGAGGAATTCTGGGAGTTGAAGTCTACAAGTCTTAAAATTGCCAAGGTTGGAGACCCCTGTTCTATTGGGTAAGTTTTTTCCCCCTTTGGGAGCTTTAAAAAAAAATAGTTAATTGGGTTTTTTTTTTAGTTGTTCTTTTTTAGACCTAGCCATTTAAAGTTTAGGAAGTTTTAAATTTAGTTTTCATATAAAAATAAAAATAAAATAAAATAATATTTGTGCAGCTTTCTGAGATTTTGTGTGTTTCTGTAGTGTTTCACTCTAACTACACAAAAACACAAAATCTCACAAAGCTGTATGTGGAATTTTGTGTGTGTAAAGTGTGAAAGTTGTTTTTTTGGGGGGGGGGCTTTTTGTGGCTGTGAGGTTCCTGCTTGTTGCAGGGGCCATTTTGGGTCTAGCACAGCTGCTTTTACATTGTGGGTGAGCCAGTTGATGTTTTTTAATTTTTATTTGGTGTGCGTTGGAAGAGGGGTAGTCTTATATGGCGAGCATAGCCCAAACCCTATATTTTAACAGGAAAAGTCGGGGGTCGTCTTATACGCCGGAAAATACGGTGCACATCCAATTATAATAAGAATTTCTAAAAAACTAAAGTTGGTTTTAAATACCAAATAAATTAAATGGTTTGGCTTACTGTAGCAGTTTAACTTGACCCTTAAATTAATCTATTTTCTTAGTTTGCACAATACATTAATTCAGGATGGATTGGTTTAATCAACATTAATTATGTCTCATGATGTTGACCCTTAGCAGCCACATCGATCGATTTCTTTTCTGCATGACAATCTATCTGGGTGAAGTAAAACAATTGTTCAAATGATGTGGTGAAGTTGAAGGGGGGAACAAGTACTGAATATACTATGGCAGTTTTATACAGAGGAAAAGCTTTCTTGACAAGTATTTGAACAGTTACAAAGCAACTTCTTATGAAATGCCTGATTATTCCTTAGTAAATTCCTGCACATTCTTCTCTAAATTATTGGAAATAGGTTTGGAAGGCTCTAAAGAGAAACCTATCAGTCAGAATAGAGCTTGAAGGGACTTTGGAGGTCTTCTAGTCCAACCCCCTGCTCCCTATACAATTTAAGACAAGTGGCTGTCCAGTCTCTTCTTAAGCCTGTTGCACGAACAGAAGCCTGCTAAGATAATATGGGATATAATGAATTTTTTTTTCACTTGTAAATTGATTTTGGCTTCTTCCTAAGGGTGATAAGATGCCGACAGATCTTTTATGAAAGGGGTGAACAGTTTTACAAGATTGTGCACTTTTAGGAATTGAAAACATTTAATCCTCCACTTAATGACCACAATTGAGCCCAAAATTGCCCAAATTTGAGCCCAAATTGTTAACTGAAAAATTTGTTGTTGAGTTTGGTTCCATTTTATGCCTTCTCACCATATTTGTTAAGTGAATCACTGCAGTTCTTATATTAGTAAACTAGTTGTTAAGTGAATCTGGCTTCCCCATTGACTTTGCTTGTCAGAAAAAGGGGAACACAGAACCTCGGGACGCTGCAACCGTCGTAAATATGAGCCTGCTGCAAGTGTGTATAAATTTTGATCATGTGAGTTATAAATGTGAGTCAGTTGTCAAGCATCCGAATGTAAATCACATGACCACGGAGATGCTGCAACGGTCATAAGTGTGAAAAATGGTCATGAGTCACTTTTTTCAGTGCCGTTGTAACTTCGGTCACTAAATGAACTGTTGTAAATCGAGGACTACCTGTAATATGGAATGGAAATGTTTTTACAGTAGCACACAGGATTAGGAAACTATGAAAACAGCCCATCTGTATAATAATAATTTATTAAATTTATATGCTGCCTGACTCCCAGCAATTAAAACTGCTCAAGAGTTTCTGAGCTGGCTTCAAATCTATTATTCCTATTACTGGATTTGCTCTGGAGAATGAGAGTGGATTTTAGGGCAGAAGGAAGGAAGGAATACGTTTTGAAATTCCGCCTATGACAATCTGCAGTGGAGGAAGTCTATGATACTAGCTGTGTGTTTGTTTGTCCACCCCTCTTCCAGTCAATGTTGACTCTTGATGGCTGTCTGGATACGTCTCTGCAGTCATCTTGGCAAAATTTCAGAAATGGTTTTCCATTGCCTCCTTCCTAGGGTTGAAAGTGACTGGTCCAAGGTAACTCACCAAGCTAGGACTAGAACTCACAATCTCCTGGTTTCTAGCCCGGTATTTTAACTACTACACTAAACTAGCTCTCAATATAGCATCAGTAGTCATAAAAGAAAAAGGGACACGGTGGCTCAGTGGCTAAGACGCTGAGCTTGTCGATCGAAAGGTCGGCAGTTCTGCGGTTCGAATCCCTGGTGCCACATAACGGTGAGCTCTCCGTGACTTGTCCCAGTTTCTGCCAACCAAGCAGTTCTAAAGCACTGTAAGTAGAAAAATAGGGACCACCTTTGGTGGGAAGGGAACAACGTTCCATGCGCCTTTGGCGTTTAGTCATGCCAGCCACATGACCACAGAGACGTCTTCAGACAGCGCTGGCTCTTCAGCTTTGAAACGGAGATGAGCCCCACCCCCTAGAGTCAGGAACGACTAGCACATATGTGCGATGGGGACCTTTACCTTTACCTTATTCATAAAAGAAAAATTAACACACTAAGGGGACCCTGTTGAGAACAAAGGCTCAAATTCTTCTGTTTCCCTGGAGTAAACACCAGGGAAATTTCCGCAGAACTAGCTGTTCCACAGAACAGATACCATGTGGGCATGATAGGGAAGGAAAAAAATCCAAAGTGAACAGCTTGTGGTGTGGAATTTCCTTGATTATGGCCATTAAAGGCTATCTATAGATAACTTCTAGTGGAATAATGTGACTTGGTAGGTTTTTTTAATTATTTCAGGAAACAATTTGGAAATTCCTTTGTAGGAATGTCTTAAGCTACCAGCCAAAAATTACTAGGTGAAGAGTAAGAGGATTGTATGCTATAATAATACAGCTTGATATGTTTGGGTTTAAGGCCTTATTAGGCCTTGCTATAATATCCACTCTTTCTATACAGAACTTAGTGCTGAGTCAACAGACGCACTCTCTCTGCAAGTAGTCCTTGGCTTATGACCACAAGTGAGCCCGAAATTTCTGTTGCTAAGCAAGACAGTTGCCTCATTTTACAACATTTTTTGTGACAGTTAAGTGAATCTGTGCAGTTGTTAAGTGAATCATGCGGTCAGTAAGCAAATCTGTTTTCCCCCATTGCCTTTGCTTGTCAGAAGCTGGCTGGGAAATGGTGATTACGTGACCATGGGAGAGGGCAACCGTCAGGAATACATGCCAGTTGCCAAGCTTCCAAATTCTAGTGACATGACCACGGAGATTAAATATGAAAAATGGTCCTGTCACTTTTTTCACTGCTGTTATAACTTTGAACGGTCACTAAATGAATGGTTGCAAGTCGAGGACTATGGACTGTGGAAAGCACAAAGTCCAGTTGCTAAATGTATCCTTGTACAATGTGAAATGAAATTTACATAGAAGGCATCTACTTCTGACTAGTATACATCTATGGCTGTGTTCTGCAACGCTAAAACCACACTTTTTGCTTCTTCCCTTTATATCAGAAACACTCAAAGGCTCGAAAATTACATCCCTAACTTAACTCCAGAAGCAAATAGGCAGCTGGATCCACTGTATGTGAGCCAAGGTTTACTCACTGCTTAGTGTATTGCATAAATTGGTGTGTTGCATGTCAACTTCTGTGTGTGTTAAAAAACTTCTCTGTTTTGTTGTTATTGGGTCTCCGAACTGCCTGTGTAACGTGGCATGTTACCCATTGTATATGTGGGTGGTTTTTTTTTTTTTTAAAGGTATCTATTATATCATTAAACTCTCCAGCTAATACTTAAAATGCCCTGCATTGTTTTTGGGAAGTAGTTTATTCACAAGCCTTTGGGATTTGTTTGTTGCTCTTCCTTAGCTGGAAACAAAGTCCTGAATTGTTCTGTTGGCCAAAACTTAGTTAATTGGCAAGTCTTGTTTTCTTGATTTCAAATAAGAATGGGAAAGTCTTGGAGGGAAGCTGTGGTGTCAGTGCAATTTGCAGTTGTGGCAATTGTAAGTTGGTTTACTGCCTATTTTTTGTTTTTGTTCAACTCATGGACTGGAATTAACAACCTTTATGGAAAGACTTGGAGAAGATTCTTACTTTGGTATAAATTCAGATCAAATTGTGTTGGGTTAGTTCTCTGTTGCTCCAGAAATATACCTCTTTTACTGACCCTGTTTAAAGTTAAAAAGATTTAAAGTTAAAGGGTATGTTTTCTTGGGTTTATTCTATCCAACTAGAATTGGGAGGCAGGGTTATTTTTTCATTTAAAAGATAGCCAAAATAACAATCCTCAAACGATGCAGAACATAATTCTCCATCCTTTCATCACCCTCCAAAACGTTCAAATTTAAACCCTATTGCAAATAAGTATTTTTAGTTTGCCTGTTTGCCATGATGATAAAATGAAAGTTGTATTTTTTCATATATATTTTTTTAGATTCACTTTACAGCCATGATGACTCAGCTTATGTCTGTTATAAAAATGGTTGTAAGCTTGAGTCCAGTAAGTTGGTACTTCAAGTTATGACCTCAACGACTTAACGATCAAAATTCCTGGCTCCATTGTGTTCATAAATTGAAGACTCCCTGTAGCTGCTAAATAAGAATTATGGGAGATATAGTCCCAGCCCATCTCTGATTGAGGAGCACTTTTAGGTTTTCTCATCCATGTTGCAGGGCTGGGATTCATTGCAGACTTTATATGTCAAAGTTGCTTTTTTAATCGCCTTGCCTAAAATAGTTTTTTTTTAAACTGTTAGGATTTCTGAAGATAGGTAGAAAATGATGGGTCTAACCTCACCTGACTCTACTCTCTGTGTTTCTCTGTGCTTCCTCTGTTTTCTGAAAATACAGATGAGGAATTCAATTCACAGCATTCTGCCTTAATACAGCTGTCCGTCTTTTGTTGTTAGTTGCGAAGTCGTGTTTGACCCATCGTGACCCCATAGACAACGTTCCTCCAGCTGTTGCTGTTAGCTGCAAATAAACCATCCTCGAACCACCACCCAAGCATGTTTCTTTGTGGAATTGCTCTGGCAGCCAGCGTTGCCGAGACAGGCCTTCCTGTCCTCTACCATCCTCCGGAGTCCATTTAAGCTCACACCGACTGCTTCAGTGACTCCATCCAGCCACCTCGTTCTCTGCCGTCCCCTTCTTCTTTTGCCCTCCATTGTTCCCAGCATTAGGCTCTTCTCCAGGGAGTCCTTCCTTCTCATTAGGTGGCCAAAATATTTGAGTTTCCTCTTCAGGCTCTGGCCTTCTAAAGAGCAGTCAGGGCTGATCTCCTCTAGGGCTGACCGGTTGGATCGCCTTGCAGTCCAAGGGACTCGCAGGAGTCTTCTCCAGCACCAGAGTTCAAAGGCTGTCTTTAAACATGCCAAAAATGACTCTTTGGTCTTACTAAACCAGGGGTCCCCAATCCCTGGGCCACAGCCCACTACAGGCCTGTGGCCTATTCGGAATTGGGCCACCTGAGCGGTTGGCCGGAGTGCACACACACCTGCAGCTCAACTTGCTTGAGTGGTGGGGGCCGGCGGACAATCCCATGTGTGCGCGCCAGCCCACCACTTCTGCAAGGGCTTCGTGCGCGTGCACCAGCCCACCACGTGGCGCAGCTCCCCTCTTCTCCACCCTCCAGGTGGACTGCCAAGCGGCAAAGGTTGGGGACCGCTGTGCTTAACCATAATTTCTTTAATCATGGTTTGTTGAATTACGCTATAAGTTACAGCTTGCAGAAGGGCAGGCCTTTCATAACCCCAGACTCTGTATGAGTCCTAGTCTCTGTTTTGATTGCTTAAAGAAATGTTGATGGCATAACCTGCTCCATCTTTCCCATTTCAGGCCTCTCCAAAGGTCCATCGAAGTTCTGAGGAGAAGGAGAAACTCAAGCTACAGAGGGTGAGAGGATTCCACTGACTAACTGAATTTACTCGCTGAAAAGTGAGAGTGTGTGGGCTTAAGAAAGTGATGTGGAAGACAATAATAAATGGTTTTAATGACAGTATTTCTTTGGTCATCACTAAAGCAGCCTGAGATTTTTTTGTTTTGTTTTAAATAAAGCTTTCGTGAAAGCCCATTAAAATTTGAGCTACTTTAATTACCAGTCATCATCCTAGAAAAGAATTGTCTTTGTTGCTAAGAGATGATGACACATCACCAGTGACTTTGGCACTCTGGCTGTTCAAGCACAGAAGCCTGAGAAATGCCTGCATTAATGAGTAACAGAGATCTTCTACCTTTTTTTTTTTTTTAAAGTCTGAAGTGAGATCCAGAGTGTTTTTCATGCATGCGCATCCCTAATAAATTGTAAATTTTGTCCACTGAAACAGCTCAGCAGAGCTGCAGGCAGAAAAAGTCCTAGTTTCTATGCCGACGTATCCAGCTAGGCCAGAAAAGATTTAAATTCCCGGGGAAGACAATATTAAATCAGAGGAATGTGGCTTGACTTAAAAAGCCTCTTCCACCATCCCATATCTTCCAGGTGTTTATGGCTAAAATGCTACTTTGGAAGTATAATCAAAGATGTTGTGTGATACAGCTATTTCTGGATTTTACAATATCCAGGAACAAGTGAGCTATGGCATGTTTTAGTCTATTTGGGGGTTGGAGGTTGCAGTGATTGGATGGTGTAATTTCCAATCAAAGCAAGGTACGTCCTAAACTGACTACTTAAAGCAGGGGTCAGCAACCTGTGGCTCTGGAACCGCCTGTGGCACTTTCACCCCTGTGCTGCGGCTCCCTGTCACCCAAAATATGCGTCACAACCACCAATGTGCGACACCTGCCAGCACGCGATTTATTGAGCTTTTCAACCCCCGGTAGGCCAACCATGGATAAATCCAAGAAAAGAAAAGTTTCAGAAGAAAACAGAACGTTTAATTCAACTACATATGATAGTTCTGTGGCCGCTCAAGAAATAGTCAGGCACGGGAAGGGTTTTGTGGCTCCTGGTGTTTTCTTTTCTGTGGGAAACGGGTCCAAATGGCTCTTTGAGTGTTTAAGGTTGCAGACCCCTGACTTAAAGAAATGACCTTTGTTTCTATTTGAACTTCATTTGAAACCATTGTTGGGCCTCTTGCTAGAAATGGAAAGAAATGAAGATTTAATTTTGGGATTTGATGATTTGCACAGGTTATAGAAATACGGTGCATTGTTGGTTT